GTACTCTGTAGTACCCCCCCCGCACCTCCTATCAATTTGTACATGACTATTAATTTTAAGTTATTTTGTATTATTTTATGGTTATGTTAGGGTAAGACAATTTCTGGGCCGAGCGCTTCGGCTAGGACAGGCTAGGGGGCCGAACACTGCGGCCAAGACAGACCTTCAATTTCAACAATCTCAACAAAATTTATATATATTTGGGGTTGGGTTAAACCTTTTTCTGGGCCGAGCACCGCGGCTAGGACAGGCTAGGGGGCGGGTGCTGCGGCCACATGGTCAAATATATCCATTTCTTGCATGCAAGATCCATGTACAAAATTGATAGGAGGGGGGGGCCTGGGGGGTCCAAAAATCGTATAATTGGACAGACCCAAAGTTCCATTAATGAATAATGTGAAAAGTGCAGCAATTATTTTCTTATTTGTATAAAACAGGTGGAGAGCGTAATTCAGAGAACCGAATGTTTTTAAGTTAATGACTAACAAAATAATGCGTAAAACAGGATGAATGCCGCAAATGAATAATGAAAACAAAACACAATTGAATTTAAAAGACCTTCTTAAATGTCGTATTAGTTAAAATAGATTTGTACTTTGGAAATATAAAATTTTTAATTTTGAATTTTGGACATTTGACCAATACGGAATAATTGTTCGATGTCTATTCAACATATAAATATATTATTCATCATTAAAATTCATCTCTCCAGATCCCTGTCTTCATTATTCCCTATATATATCGGAAATAAACAATTCGTGCTTTCTTCCCAAATTCTCGAGATCCAGAAGAAAGCTAGGGATGTGTGAAGCAATGGAGAAAAAATCACACTTTTTGACACATCTTAGGTTTAATTTTTGTGAATTAATTATAAAATTATAGTGTGAATCCCACACCTTTTAAATTATAAACATTTTTCTGCGGCAGATCAGTTTTAGCTCCGAGATGATCGATAGTTAGGAATCCCGCAAACTGTGATCAGCTGTTTGTTTTCAGTTTTAGTCACATTCAGACATTTTTATAGAGTGCAGTGCTTCAGCTCATAGGATGGTCAGTGATTTTCCCTTTAACATACATATAGTGCACATCAAAATTACAATTTGCTTAAAAATTAATGTATTTTTTGAACAAGTAAACTTTTATTAATTTTCAGGCATCGTATAAAAAATCCTTATTTATGTATAAAGTTATATAGTTCCTTTTTATAGTTATCAAAACTAATTTGACCAGAGAAATACAGGATACCCTAGGAGTACAGGAGTACATGGAATACCCGGTAATTGGGCTCGTCCTAGTATACGATTTTTGGACTCCCCCCCTCCTATTAAATTTGTACATTACCACTTAGTTAGGATTTAATAGGCTAAGACAATTTTTGGACCAAGCGCTGCGGCTAGGACAGGGTAGGGGCCGAGCGCTGCGGCTAGGACTGGCTACGGAACTGAGCGCCGCGGCTAGGACAGACTAGGGGGCCGGGAGCTGCGGCCACATGATCAATTATATCCATGCATACAAAAGGGGATGGTGGAGTTGGCACATTTGATGTAGGGGGGGGGGCCCTGCCTTCATTTTTGGTTCAAATCTTCCAATTTTTTGGGTGCACGCCTAATTAGTGATCGAAATTCATAAAATAAAATCAAATTGAATTTTAATGACCTCTAATGACCTCTAATGACCTCTAATAA